ATCCGCGACGGATGTCGAAACGTCAGGCGAATAACCATATTGTCCCAGCGATGTAGTCTTCTTCTTCTCACATGCAATAGGTGCTGGAACTCACAGATCGCCGACAAGCTAGTGTTCTGCAGCCTTAAACGCATAATAAACCTGCTTTGCAGCTTATTCCGCCTCCTTTATAGCGCTGTTTGGGATGTGCATTCACATATTTTCGGCAAAAGAAATCCACCACCGGGAAAGGATAAGTTGAACGTCTACCTTTAGTTTCCAAACTGTTTTGGCCCAGTCCTATCATAACATGGATTGTGCCGCAAAGGTCTTTGCAGTTTTCATCAGCACACAGCACAGCTTTTGGATGCCGTGGGCCTATTGTAGTCAAAATTTCTTCTTCTGGCGAGCCAATGAGTACCGCGAATACAAATAAGTAGTTAATTCCTCTGTTTTATGAGTTTTTTTATCTCCATCTAGCTACCTATCTGCGTGAAGGTTTCTTGATTATGATCGTACTGCATGATACCAAAAGATCATGCTCACTTCGACAGAGGCCTGGTAGCAAAAAAACCAGGATTAAACTTCAAGTGATGCGTAAGGAAAGCTATTTCGTTGATGTAACTTCTGCGTCTTTCGTGGCTGAGTTGTCATGAGCAGGTGCGGTAGGTGGCGCTTTCACGTCACGACAATTATTGCAATGTTCTCACGCTCGACTCATGAGGAGTCAATGGAGAATGGGGACGGGACATTGAGTGCTTTCGATACAGACCGGATACGGCGCTTTTTTAGCTTCTCGGGATAAACAAGTAAATGCGCTGTTTTAACTACCAGAATACGCTAAAAGTTTTGGCCTGGAAGGTTGCTAACTGACAGAGCAATTTGTTCCTACGGCTGACTGGAAAGCAGGCTGAAATTATCCTTACGGCACTCGCACTTGCGTGTGGCCTGCGATTTCCCCGTTCATGAAACTCAGTGCACATGAAGCCGGGAACCAGGTCATGCGTAGAACGCGTAGACGGGTAATTTAGTTTTTTCACTAAGTACGTCCACACTAGCGTCAGGTCGCCTTAATTTTCTTGTCGACAAAGGAAAGAAACTAAGGCTACTGCGAAGCAGGTCCGATTCGCTGCAAACAAATCTGTCTCGGGGTACATTGGGGGAACCTCATCACATTTAATGACTGACTTGTCTTTTGTATCATCAGTTATTTTTAACAATATGACAGGCATAGTTTTCATTAGCATAGCGTTACAACAGGTTTCAGACCGTGCAGTACAGATTTTGGCATCATTGACGACAGTGTGGTGCTGGGGAGCCTTTTGACAAAAGCGCAGTATGATGCGTTCGCGTTAGGTAGGAAGGTAGTTTGAAAATAATTTATTGCGTAATTGAGACGCTTGTTTTCGGCTTCGTGGTCGGAAGTTTCTCCTCGATCAGGAGAGTTGACGATGTCTTTGGCTCAGTTTTCATCTAGAGTCAAATATCCTATGGGACTGACAAGGAAAATTTCAACTTGCTGATTCGATTCAATAGAAACTCGTGGCCTTCATCTGAATCCGATGAGCGTTAGTTTGACCAGAAATTCGTACATGTGGCTTCTGCCATGTCAATTTTTCTATACAGATGTCACCTGTGCAACGTGTACTCTGAACTTTTACATTATCTACGGAACTATCCCACCAATTTAAACAAGGCAAAGATCACGAGATTAGCAGGATTTATTGATGTCATATAATTTCGCTACCCCTTTTTAAACTGCAAACAGTCGTTGCCTATTAATATGATAATTAACTGTCCAATTAGATGTCAGCCTAGAAGGGTGAAACTAGGTAGGTAATGAAAGTAGAAACTAGTAGTCT